GTGTACGCGGCCGTTTCCAGCAGAATTCAGAGATCCGCCGCCGCCGTTGTGGCCGGCATTTATTGCGACCACCCCCAAGGGTGCATTTATATTCATAAGCATAATGGGGCATCGTGACGTATACGGTCGCGGCACGCTCGACTCTGTCCCTTCGCTCTTTCATCATTATTAATTCCACGGGGCCCCGTTGCCTCCCTCGAATTCGCTCGCCTCCTTCCACCTCCTACCCGCCTTCACAGTCGACGTCCTGGCATCTCTTCTCCCTTCGCTATCACCTCCTCCTCATCCTCCTTCTCCCTGGTATTCCCAGCTCGCGACCAACAGCATCAAGATTCCCGTGGCGGTTCCGCGTTTTTGCGCCTCTTTATTTACGGCTTCGCGGCGAACGACTCTCTCTCCCTCTCTTCGCCGCCCTTCTGCACCTTCTTCTCGAACTGTCTGCGCTTCGTCGCGCCGCTTTAGACCGCCGCAACCACCGCTGGATGATGGTTCACCGGGTCTCTCTTGTAGTACTACTTCGTTGGTTGGCTGGGCCGAGCTCACTGGCTGGATAGCTGGCTGGCAGACTTCGCGTTTATTAGCTTTGCAGCCCTGTTCCGGGCTGTCGCGTAACGCGCCGGAGGAGAGTAGGTTCACCACGGGAACCTTCTAATCGATATGCGATGCCGCGTGTTGCATGCACGCCGCGGCCCGGCTGCGTCAAGTACGCGAGAGGGATGCACGATCGAGCACGCCCGGCAAATGGCCGACCCATTATCGGCTTTACGTATGTACGGACACCCTTTCGGAAAAACACCGGCTTCCTTCGGGGAGGTAGCTCGATTCGGTGCACGTTTTATGAACAGAGGAAGGAGGTGTGCAAGTTACACCCCTGTTTTTCTGCAGGCTCGAGGGAAGACTACTTGATGCTTCGTTACCGAAGAGAAATTCGATCTGGAGGCGGTTCGTTCTGTGGTAGAGTTAATGATTGTCGTTTGGTAGATCTGTTAGGTTGGAAGGATCTATTAGTAACTTTGCAAACGTGAATTTTTATGTAAGTTGAAACGAGGTTGAGAAGGTTGTCTAGGAATAAATGTGGAGAGAACAATGTTATGATAATAGTTATCAGTACCGAAAATTTACTTTCCTTTTTTTTAATTGCTTATGGGTCAGTTTTGACCCGGTCTAGCGATGGTCCTCGGTTTCTAGCGATACATGCATTGGAAGGATTTAGAAATTGTGATGGAATTGGATGGTAAAATTTTTATTCATGGCGTACGATTATTAGAATAAGGCATACCTGGAATAACCTATTTTAATTTTGTCATTTTGATCAAATTACATATAAACGTTGTTTCCAGTCAACTTCGAATAACAGCAAATTTGTATTAAAATTGTGGTGCAAACGCAACACCCGCTAAATGCTTAAATTGTGCACGAAATTAAATTGTAAGTTTCTAAGTAATCTTTCTAAGTTTTCACTAAAAATCTACCTCTACGAACGTTTTCGTCCAGATGAACAGGGAGGCCGGTGTATAACAGAGAGTACATTTCATCTGCAAAGTGTATTTATTGTATAAAAATGTCAAATAATCTGCTGCTAATTATAGAACTCTCCTTCACATCCGGAGACCTTACGTACAAATAACGACGAAAAGTGAAAATTATGCTTCGTCCGAATGTACGAATTTATCAACGTCTCCAATTATTCCGTCATTCGCACAGATACAACTTCCTTAACCGCGCTGTGCTAGCTTTCACGGAGAGCGCGCATACGAGTGGATTTTCCTCGAAACGTCAAAAAGATTAATACAGAGGATAGCACTTGTAGAATTAAAACTACATTTATATCTCGTGAAATCCACTCCTGCCGGTTGAAATATTTTCTCTGAAGTAACATTTTTCCCCTCTGAGGTGAAATGACCCTAAAATGGGGGAGGGGGCGAATGAACGAAATCTCGAGGCTAATGGGCCGCTTTTCACGCGCCTCACGCTCGACCTTTCGCGCTCGCGATCGTTGATTACGCGCGTATTGTGGACAAAAAGAAGAGAGAGAAAAAAAAGCGCGCACCGATAGCGCGTCGCGCGCTAGACGGAATTCCGTTCGCTTTGTCCGCGACGCGATAATGAAAAACAGAGTTATTGGACTTCTGGCTATACTTTGACACCTTTGAACGAATATTACACCGCCGCGACAGGCCGAGGCGACGAGAACACGCGGCTGCCAATGAAATTACGCGTGAAATGCCGACGCGGCTCGTTGGATTTTGTCGCGTGATTTTCGCGAAATTCACTTCGTTTGTTCGACAGCCGGCTGAGAGAGCGAACTGTGACAACGGCGATTCGTTTATTTCACGGTAATCGTTAATACCTTCGTTCCTATGACTTACCTGTCGACGAAATGGAAATTAGCTCGTTCAATTTCGAAAAATAACCTTCGTATCTTAAATTTCGCGCAAAGGTATACTTAAAAGTATCCAATTAATTTACACACAGAGCAGCGGAAATAATTTCAGGAAACGTTTCAATCAACGACGTGTATAGGTACATTTACATTAATTTTCAATTCGACCATAGTTGAATTGTTGCTCGGCAGTTTTCAATAATTCTTACAAATTAATTCCTATTTTAATTATCCTGTTATTGTTGCGGGCACAGTGACTCGTACTCGTTTCACTCGACGTCCAGGAATTGTATGAAAATTGCTTTTGCTTTCAATTCGCCTGTAATTTAACTTTTACAGAGGACCGGCTGGTGAATTATTTAAGTATTTAACAAGCCATGCGTGTCCGTTTGTTGCAGTCTGCAGTCAGTTCAGCAGAGGGGTGTTCTCGATGCTGGGCGCGGTGAGTCCGGACTCGTTCGACACCCTCCATTCTTACAGCAACACGTTCCAGATGCCTTTCGTGACGCCCTGGTTTCCCGAGAAGGTAAATATCACGCTTCCATCGGCCTGGCTAAATAAAAACTTATAATATCGTCGGAGGGAAAACGCGGCGACGTTTATTATTATCCCTCAACCCCTATACATCTCCGTCCTTTCTTTTTTTTTTTTTTTTTCACTTATCGGCCTTCGACGCTTATTTTTATCGCTTATCCGAAGCTCACCTGTGTCGATAAAAAGTAAACGCGAGCTCACATTCCGTGACTTCTTTTTTCTACATTTTTTGCGAAATACCTACCTTACGACGCGCAATTTTATCGAGATTTTCGCAGGCAAATGGACCCGTTAACGCGTGCAAAAGCTGACAGATCGAAATTACGATAATTTCTGACTCGTTGGATCGTATCAAAGGGAATAATATTTTTACCGTATAACGTCGAAGTAATGCAACCTTCGCGAAGCGTTACAATTACTTGAACAAGCGGTCTCCTCATTATGGAAATGGCAGTATTCATATTTAATAAAATTACGCTCGTACTGAAACAATAAAACAGCTCCGCGCGGAACGTGGAAAATATACGCGTTATTGAAACGCATTTACATCACAGTTATTTACCAAAGAAGAGCCACAATTCGGTGAAAATAACAAACACAGGTTACTTGCACTCTTCGCTATTCCAACAGTCAAAAGAAATTTTTCTTTCTGCATGAATTCCTCCCCGGTGACAGTCACAAGCACACCGAGTTCCTTCGTGCGTCACATTCGAAGAGATTCACCTGTCTCGTCGTTGAGCTGCTCGTCACCGGTCAAACCAGTTTAACTTTCGTTTTTCTTTCACCGGGCGCGTTCTGCGTCACGCGCTCTCTCCCCGAGCGAAATTCGAATGGAAATCCGTGGAAATTGGCGGCGGTCGCGTCGATAATTAGCGCGCGCGGACGAGGGTTGCTCCGATCGACGGAAGCCCACCTCCGTTGTTCTCGATGTACCCATAAATGCATAAATATGTACGGGGTGTGTACAAACATATTACAATTTGAATTTGGAAATGAATCCCCCCCGCTCGAGAATTTATTCGCCGTGTCGAATTGCAAGCGGCGGGCGCATTTATCGGTGGGCAGAGCTAGAGCAGGGCGCGCAGCGCAACTCGCAAAACTGATATCGTACGTCCATATTGGATGAATGGCGGCCCCGTATATTCTGGCCAGGATGTAAGTGTGAGTTTTTATCCGGTCGTGTTTCGATGTACGTGCACGGTAAGCACGCACGAGCACGCGGCTCCTCTGTCGCCGTAACGAACGTCCATGTCGTTTAAATGCTAATCGCGTGGTAATGCTAATTCCAAGTCCTCCCTTTTTTCTCTTTTCTTTTCTTTTTCACCTTTTTCCCTGCTCTTCCTTTCTCTGTGCTCCCCTCTTCCTACACTCCCTCCTCCCCATGGCGGCTGGTCAATTACGGCTCCCGGGGAACGACCATTTATAAGAGGAGATCTTTTTCAATTTCCAGCGAGACCTTTCACGTTGCGACGCCATTTTCCTTTGGTATCTCGTGAAACGTTATTCTTTCTTCCTACGGTTTGCCTTTCTTTTTTCTACTTTTTCAGGGGGAGCCCTTTTGATATGGTTTTATTGCGATTTTTGGAACGTGGAGGATTTGAGGTTGAATGGAAGTTGTAGGGTGATTGTTGGAACATTGGTATTATTTTAGTTGAAATATTGGGATGTATGGAAATTATAGTGGTTGATTATAATTAATTTTAATCTTGGAAAATTTTCGATCTCTCGAAAATGGTGTTTTTAGCGTTTCTTACAGTCTCTACCAATTTTGTTTGAAATTTTCACGAAGATTTGGTAGAGACTCTACTAAACAAACCTAAGCTAACCTATGTAACGTATTGAGAGATTTCAATGATGAATATAATCACTATTGATCCAACCAAGTTTTCCAATTTTACCGAAACAAAGATTTATCTCCGTCACAATTATTATATTCATTTGGTGTACGGTAGTTTAGATTAATATAACCTATAAGTGGCCGATTATAATCAATTTTAGTCTCAGAAAAATTTCGATCCCTCCAAAATGACGATTTCGTTGTTTCACACAGTCTCTATCACTTCTCTTTTAAATTTAAGCTACTAAACAAACCTAAACTAACCTATGTAACGTATTGAGAGATTTCAATGATGATTTCAATCACTCCAAGATTTTCCAATCTTACCGAAACAAAGATTTATCTCCCTCACAAACTTTCCACCACCTCCAAGATTCCCCAAAGATTCACGAAACAACCCTTTCCCCTGCCCATGAATACGAAAGGAGCACAGTAGCCGCGAAAAGAAAGCGTAATTCACTTAAATCAACTGGTTACTCTTCCGCGCGGAGACAAGAGATGCCGCGAAACGGTCAAATATCGCGAGCTATCGAACACTCTGTCGCACGCCACGGCGTCATAAATATTTACGATTACATTTGCCGCACTTTTCCCACCGTCGTTTCCGGTTGGTCGTCTATAGGGGTAGGAACGACGCCGTTTAACGCTTCCTCGAGGCGTCTAGATATTCGGCTTGGTTCGTCCCGCTAGCAAATAAAATCTGAAAGTCGAACTCATACGTGTGCCGATGGTACGTGTTCCAGGTTCTGACACCGTCCTCTGGTCTCCTGGATTTCGCCATAAGCATGCGTCCGGATTATCATCGCGCGATCATCGACACGGTGCGATACTACGGCTGGAAGAAAATCATCTACCTCTACGACTCCCACGACGGTAAGTCGACGACCTTTTCTCATGCATTTCTCATTTTACAGCTCGCCCCTGTAGGCTCCGATCCTCCCCGCCTCCTCCTTCTTCCCCTATCTCTCTACGCTGGATATTCCTATTTTTATTGCATCTGCTAAGCATCCGGTGTTGGTCCCCGATGGCCTTGCTTGGCCGATATCCCGGAAAATCGGCCACTTTTGCTCGCGTATCACGCGTCTGAATTGTAATCGTGGAACGGTAACAGCCTCGCGACGTGAAATCCACCGACTTCCTATTTTCTCCTCTTTTCTATCGTACGCCGATTATTCAACCGTACCGAGGTAGCTTTTGCACTCGTTTTGCATGTTCGGCTCGAACTCCGGTTTTCGAGTCGCAGAAACCAAGGAAGAGAAAAGTCTAAGGGGTAGTTCGAGTGCTTCTGAATTTAAATACCCCACGAAGTGAAGTTCGAGAGGGTTTGAATTTAAACGGTTCGAACGATTCTTCGAATGTTCTCGAAGTAACGCAAGAAGGACATGAAAATGGAGTTGAAGTTTTTCGGATAGGTGGGTTCTTTTTTTCCTTTCGAAGTTCGTAGATATGAGAAGTTTCGTCGGCTGGACGTACATACCTCTCGGCTTTGATTACCGATAGACGAGCAAACCGAGCGTTTGTTTATCCGCGTAAGCTTTACCAGGGAGGAAGTTCGGTGCTGTGTACATACGAGAGAAGAGTTGCGGGAAGTTTGAAACTGCGTCTGACAGTAGTCTTTAGCTTCGGATTAATACAAGTTTTCTGTTCAAGGTTATTATCTTACCGAGAAGGGTCTACGGTTTTCCTCCACGTGAAGGAAGTCGCGTGAGTGTTTGAAAAAATCCGAGGAAAAAGTTTATTCACGAGGAATAATAATGTTAACGGAACGCTAATCCACTCTGTCGTAAACAGTTTCGTTCCATTAATCACTTAAGTAGCAGCACTTCCTGCTACTTCCCTCCTTTTTTTACACGTATTATGGACGGAATAAAATAGGAATAATTTGAGAGAAAAAAAGGAATGTTTATTAACACGGTAGGAATATCGAATGTCCACGGTCGATCCTTAGCAGAGCGAGTACACAGGAAGGAAATGCATTTGCATGCGTGACCGCGACACTGTGTTAATTTTAATTTCATACCGACACGGTCTAGTAGTTAGTAAAAATGGGATTTTTCATCTCCCGCCGCGCGATTCAGTATGCAAACGAAAATGTGGGCGACATTGAGCCTCGACGCGTGCGCTAGAAACCGCGACACGGTATAATCTCCGACGTTTGTCGCCGTTTTACGTGATCCGATATTTTTTGCAAAAGTGCGACGATGTAGCTGTTCGAGTAGCGCAAAAATCCAGAAATAACATCGAGCTTCAATTATGTGATTACTCGAACAATTACAGCGGTAATCGTGAATTGTTGAATTTATTTCAAAGCTACTTAACATTCTTTCTTCGTCATTTGGCAAGATAAACAGCGAAGACGTGCACGTTGTGAGAATGTCGAACGAGGAAGTCCTAAAAGTTGACACGCATGCACACGAAGTTACAATTTTTCCTCGAGTCGTTTGCTCGTCTTGCTTGAAATTCGATTGTCACGCAGCGGTGGTATTTACGATATAAAGGTTTGTGGAAATAATTTGGCGTCGAAGGTCGAGCTAGATACGCGCACTCAAGGCGGCGTTTTTCCTCTTACTTTCGCCATTTGCGTAATCTCGTCGATAATTTTAGTCCCGCGTTCCGCAATTTTGCTCGACCGTAATTCGTCTAACGATCATTTCGTATGACAATTCCGCCGAATTTCCACGTCACAGTTGAAAGTTACGCGGGTTTTGTGGCATTTCGGCTTGCGTCAGAGAGCAGAGTTGACGTTCGGAGGTTCGTAAATTTCTCGGATCGCTTTACGGCGGATAAGTAGGAGAACTGTTTAATAACTCGGCTGAAACAATTTTATCTGCTCGCGAAAATTATTCGAAGAATTTTTCTTCGGGTTTAGCTGCAGTGTTCCCAAGATAATCAAAGAGATAATTGGCAATTACTATCATTCGGTGAGATTATAGTATCACGAGTTACCCTTTCGCGTTATTTCACCACGATCTTTATCAAACACGCGTTGATAAAACACTAATCAAGTTATATTGTTCAGAAGCAAATACGCCGTAATGCCTATAATATACCCAATTACCGTCAATAAATCAACAAGTAAATTGTTCCATGTGTTTTCGCGGGGATTTTTACAATCTCCTCAACCAGTTCTTGACCCGATTACCTTCGGGAGATAGCGATCATCGCGTGGAATCGCACGAGCGAAAGATTCACCTTTAAGTCTTGCACAATCGACGATTCTTCTAACGTGCCTACTTGCATCGACAACGAATCTGACGTCCTTTATCGCTTCTATTCATTCCCGATCCTACCGTGGAACGAACGACGAAGTGCTGTGCGTGTATACCACCGATCACCGCCTCAATTTAACCTGTCACCGTCCGTTCGGACATCTTGTAGTTATTCTTCACGCCACTCGTCCCATCATAAATCGATCCAATTATCACGCACACACCAATCGTGTCTCGTGTACCGAATCACCGTGCCCGTGTATACGGGGGTAATCAAGTGGATCGAATTATCTCAAACAGAAGTAATCACGGGTGCTAATTGTCGTATGTACGAATTAAGGTGGACAAAAGTGTCCATACGTACCAATAGTCGAGATGAGTCGAATTCAAATATTTGGAAACTTTTGTAAGCACAATTTCTTAGGCATTCAAATTTTAAGAAATAGAAATTTTCGTATGCACAATTTCTCACGCATTGAAATTTTAAGAAATAGAAATTTTCGTATGCACAATTTCTCAGGCATTCAAATTTGAAAAATTGAAATTTTCGTGAGCACAATTTCTCACGCATTCAAATTTGAAAAATTGAAATTTTTGTGAGCGCAATTTCTCAGGCATTGAAATTTGAAAAAATTGAAATTTTCGTGAGCACAATTTCTCACGCATTGAAATTTTAAGAAATAGAAATTTTCGTATGCACAATTTCTCAGGCATTCAAATTTGAAAAAGTAGAAATTTTCGTAAGCACAATTTCTCACGCATTGAAATTTTAAGAAATAGAAATTTTCGTATGCACAATTTCTCAGGCATTCAAATTTGAAAAAGTAGAAATTTTCGTAAGCACAATTTCTCACGCATTGAAATTTTAAGAAATAGAAATTTTCGTATGCACAATTTCTCAGGCATTCAAATTTGAAAAAGTAGAAATTTTCGTAAGCACAATTTCTCACGCATTCAAATTTTCCCGTTTGCAATTGTCACGTGCACTGCAGTTCATAATTATCGGGACACTTGCTATATTGTTACAGAAATTTCTTATATCCCAAGATTCCAGGCTTATTTTTGAAATTTGAGCAATTTCATAACGACTGCGTTTAAGTTCGCTTCACCTTCGGCAAGTGTCCCAATACTTCCAAGCTGAAAGTGTATATCACAAATTACCACACGCGTCGTTACTCCTAAAAGTTTCTCCAGAGTCCCGAGTAAGGAATCGACCTCGAATCTTCTCCAATCCGTCCCGAGCGATCGAAACATTAACCCTGAAAAGGTGGGGGAGTGAGACTTTAATTACTTAATGAAGCTGGCGGAACGGTCGTTCGACCGAAACGATTAATCACCGGCCGTCTCGTGACTGTTTCGTGCCTTGCCGGTTTCCGTTTCATTATAACTCGGTCACGCGCCGCCTTCCCTGCAAAGCTATTTAGGATTCCAAGCAATTGCTCTTCTTCGACGAACGAACGAACGATAAGAACAGCCATCTCGCGAAACCCACGGAGTTTAATTACCGAATGCAAATGCAAATATACTTTAGGGACCGTGAGCGGTCTTCGTGAGCGTCTCACCTCTCTCCCTGTCTCTGTATCTTGAACGTCCCTTACAGCTTGCCCTCTGCCCTCGATTTCAGCCTGCATAACGTCGTACGACGCGATCTTCCTCGATTAGCGCCAAAATGGCGCACAGATAGGGTAAGAGCAGGAAATTGGACACGTTGGTAACGAGGCATTAGCGTGGATCCAATGGCTATTTATATGTTTATTGGACCGTTTTAGAGGTTCGTTGGTTAGATAAATGGGGTTTGTATTAACGATTTAGGGATCAACGTGGTGAATTAGAAAAGGATCAGTAAGGCAGAGAACTTTCAAATTTCAGTGTTCATCTCTCGAAGCAAAATTTAAATCACTCTAAATAGGTCATGATTAGCAGTGAATAACAATGACAACCAATTAGATGTGAATACGATATATTTTATATTTAATACAGACATTAATCTTTCGATAAATTACTGTGCTCTAAGTATTGACGAAACAACGTTAACTCGTCCTCACCAACTAACAGGTGAAACCTTTCAACAATCTTATCGTTGGAGAACAATGCATAAGCCGGAATAAATAAGTTATTATGAGTTAGCACACGTTCGAATGTGGAGTTAATACCGTCAGCCAGTGTTTTTATATTACATTTCTCTCGTTCAACTGGGATAATGATATACATTACGTACGTAGAATGTAACGATAGGTAAATTGCTCCAGCTATACGTTCAATACCATTCACGATGACGTATGACTCGATCAAACTCATTTACACATTCTGATTAATTCCTTTGCCTTATGTTAACGTATTACTTAGCACAAACGTGTAATTCTCTTTGATCGTACGAATGGACATTTTCACCTCACTATAAAAATCATTATAAAAGCACTAAAAACATTATTTTCAATAATTCCATATACAGTGTTCATCATCATTTTTAAAACTATATCCTCGTTAACTGCAATCACGATTACCTCGCACTTTGATCTCATTTCACGTGTATCGTTCCACAAACAAAATACTCGTAAAAATGCGTACAAATTATTTTCGATAATTCCGTAGACGAGGTGAATAACAAAATTCCCTCACTTTCCTTATAGCTATCACAACCACGATTCTCGGAAGTACATCCTCGTTAACTGCAATCAGGAGACGTGCCCCCGCAAACCTCATTTTTTTTTCCTCGAAGCGAAGAGAAGCAATAGAAACCAGTCGCTGCTGCAGGCAAACGCATCTTAGGAGCTGCATTCCAGTTTGGTCGGTTTCCATGTAGCGTCGACCGACTTGCTTCTCTTATTCCAACCACTCGCAGACCTGTCGGGACTTCCCCAGTCTGTCCACGTTAACAAGTGGCCGCTCGCATCACGCGGTCCATTCTCAAGGTCACGTTACCGTTGAAGGTCATTGCCTCGTCGATACAAAATGTCCACCGTTGTCGAACGTAAACTTGACCCGACTTAACCCCTTGCCGTACCGTGTAGCTCGACGAAATCCGGGCCCAACCGGTAGGAAGCCGCGCTCGCTAAACGGGCCACCGTGATCCTTTCCTATATTTTCTCATACACAGGAAAGCTCGCTTCGCGCATGGAACGTGCCTAAGACAGAGCTAGAACGTCCAAACCCCCAGTTAACCGTCTACGTTTTTCTCCGTCTTATCCTCTGTTACGCTTTTCGTCCAGTGTTCCAGGCGTGACGCTTTCATATACACGGTGATATAATTAAACACCCGTTCGCGGAAAATTAAAACGAGTCTGACCCGTGTTTTTTACGTTTGGCCCGATTTTCTTACCACGAGTATCACACGTGGTTGTAGGCGCAAGGGTTGATCACGTCGCAGACGCAATCTCCACGTTATCTCACTGATGAGGTTTTGCGTATTGGATCTTTATTTGATAATATACAAGATACAGGTATGGCGACCGTGAAGGGCCGAGGCGCACTCTCCTACCGCGTGCCTTCTTTGTGCCAGAAAACAATCGACCATCGATAGATGGGACCATTGGAATCACACTCCTCAACACTCACGAATCTCGATCGCTCCCGGACCAAGATTAGCCCGATGCCACACGCGCACGAAACGCGTTTCCATCGGGTCCGAAGAACCGTCAGGAATTGGCCGTTCAAGGCCATCGAGTTAGCAGACCCCTTGTTTACGCTCGACTCACTTTTTCTGCTCCCTTTGTTCGAGACGGAACTGCATGTTTGGCAAGGATCAGAAAGAGTGCGATCTGTTGGTTCCGCGGCGATAGTTCAGTGTTCCCGCTCACCACCGTGGAAAATCATCGTGGATTATACGGTGAAATTGAATTTTCCAGAACAATATTACCGAAACGCGCGCGCTCACACACACACACACTTTGTTCTCGTTGTGACAATTACTCTCTGCACACGTGGTGTTGGAAACAATTTTGTTCATCGACGTAGGACAGGGGTGAGTATGAAACATCGATCGAGTACGATCAAGTTTAAAGTGTCATTGGAATCGGTTCCAAACCGTGTTTCCGTATTGTCATACACGCGACCACGAGAAGTATTACGCGTTTCTACGAGGCGCGCACACACACAGACACATTCGCAAATACGCGTAAAAGTTTAATTGCGACAGGAGAGGTTAGGGGGTTGGAAGGTGGGGACCATTATCGATCTCGACGTGGAAGTTGGCGCAAATATTTTTCCTGGCCGCCTCGAGCGACGGTGCATTAAATAACGGCCTTGAATGGTCGACGCCTTGCGGTCCAAAATATAATAGGTTACATTAATCCAATTAAAATAACAGTGAGGCTGGCTGGTCGAACGGAGCGTTCGAAACGCGTTTACGGTGGCGTAAAACGGAAACGGGGAGAAATCAATCAACACGGAGGGAACGCGTTACAACGATTTTCGTATTCATCGGGAGTGTTTCCCGGTTTTATACCAAATTACTCGGCCCGGTTGGTGTTTAACCGTAGACTGCAGACCAACTGGTGGAATGTTTAATCTCGAAATTGTAATTTGATTTCGAATTTTTAGGAAATATACACGCATACAAGTGTTTTCTGACATAAAAGTAGATTGTTGATAGTTTTAATGAGTTATTTTATGAAAAAGAAGTGAAGTTTGTTATTCTAACCTACAAATTGAAGTTTACTGTCAACATAACCTAACTTAAAATGTTATTTTATGGAAAACAATTGAAGTTTGTTATTCTAACCTACAAATTGAAGCTTATTGTCAACATAACCTAACCTAAGAAGATATTTTATGGAAAACAATTGAAGTTTGTTATTCTAACCTAAAAACTGAAGCTTGTTATCAACTTAACAGAACCTAGCCTAAAAAGTTATTTTATGAAAAAAATTAGAGTTTACTATTCTAATTTGAGTATCACAGGGTTGATAACCTTTGCTCGAGCAAGAACCGCTCGTTCTAACGATGTTTCAGAATTTCGTAGCAAAAAAAAAAAGAAACAAAAAGAAAACGCGTCCTAACTTGGACCGATTGAAACATCGTTACACACCGCGTCAACCCTTGTACCTCGAACCTAGCCGTGCCTTTTCGAATTTTCCCACTCCCCTCGGAGCGTTCCGCTGTTGCGTAACAAAGTCAAAAGAACGAGCGTAACTATGGTTTGTCTTTGAAGTAATACCACAAAGGAGCCATGAGCCGCAACAGCCTCGGGCACCTATCTCATTACCCGGAACACTAGGTCCATAACGTAAATTCTACCGGTCGTTCAATAACTCAAAGTTTCATTTCCTTCTGACGGGGGAAAAGAAGATACTTGTTTTCTCGTTTACCTGAAGTATGGAAAATTTTCGCAAATAACAAAAAAAACGGCAAAATGTCAAATTCCCCAGTAAATTTTTCCAAATTCCTCGAATTTTCTATCCTGGAAATATTGAAACGTGACGTCGGGACGAAATTCCTTCGCACTTCTCAGCGATACTTACCTTCCACCTTTATTTTTACACGATCGACCGGTTTTCACATTACCGGCAATTTAACTCGCGGGGGAAGAACAACGGTTGGCCAGCCTCGAAGCTGACCGCAAACCTCTCACGTGTGCTGAGAGTGATTTTTCTCAGTTAGTTGCTCGACGAGGAAAATCCTCGTGAAACCGCCGATCGAAGTTTTCCTTGGTCTCCCTACGACTCCTCTTCGATTGATCGACTTTCGCCACGGCGACACGAATTCAAAGAGAGAAAGAGAGAGGGGGAGTACGAGAGCTTGCAGAACGGGGAGGAGCAGCACGGAAAAGTAATTAGCTGCGTTGGAGCGTGTCGTCGCCCTGTATAAAAGCGAACGGAGTGGGACTCGAACAAAATCGAGCCGCGAGTTTTACGTGTCTACGTATCGCGGCCGAGTTCAGTTTCCTCGTTCGCCGTCTTCGAGGATGAGATCAACGCTGACTCGCGTCGACAGCGTTCGATCGCCGCTTCCTGTACTCCGCGCGCGTCACCGCCACGTCCTTCGATCCAGCTGAACCAGACCGTTGGCAGATTTTTTTGGGAAAAACTGACGAGAATCTCGGAACGAGTGAAATGGAAAGTACCGCGTTCCTTCTCGTCACTTATCTCTGACACGCTCCAGAGGGAAGAGAAGAAAAGTGTTTCGGTCGGAGAAACGACCGAAATCCACAATTGTGAAAGGGACATCGAGGAGAGAAGATTCGTAGGAAAGGAGAGACCTTGTTTCGAAGTGATTATACTTTCTAAAAACGTGTCCCGGCGAGATTTAGCCTTGCTTCAGCAAGGTAATTTTACTCTTCGATTGTTTCAACGCGGTTTCACGCTGGCACCGCTGTCGTATACGGTCTATTGTTGATAATTAATCAACGTTACCCCGTTTCCGCGTTTTTCCGTGACATGTCGTTCAGAATTTGCATGATTTTCAACGAGCGTGTTTCACGTTGACAGTTTGCAAGTGAAACGAGTTCCGCGTGAACAATCTTGGAGAATATATTACAGCAAGTAGTTTCATTTTTTCGCAAATGTGTTTCACTTTGACCGTTTAACTGTTGGAAAAATTAGGTTACCATTTCTTGACACAGAATGATAATCGTTTGTGTCTGTAATTCGACGTTTCTGTTCCGAAGCTAGATTTATTATAGCAACGTTGCTGTTTCATGTACCGGTTGCGTTGTAAAATACGGATACAGTAGGCGTGTTCGGCATATAGAGAGATAATTGAAAAGTATTCATAGGTGCATTTATCTCGGCTGACCTTGAGTTTCAATAATCCTCATCACGACTCACGAGCCGGCCTCACTGGTTTCACTTAGATATTTACTATCGAGGTTGCATACCTTGATACTTGATCTCGCCGGCTGTTAATTTCATAAACTTTTATGAATCATTTACTTCGCTCTTTACAGCGATAGAGGTATTAATAATTCTCCTCGTTATCTCCGTTTCCATTTAACCCTGAAATTATCTAATTTTAACGTCGGCTGATGTTGCAACAAGCGACAAGAACTTTCTGTGAAAAAAGAAATGCGGTATAAAGGCACTGAGGAAAAAGGAAAAATCGATTTATCAAATACATCTGAGTTTATGAAATGATCCCGGTAGATCGACTGTCTCGATACCCATTCGCGCATTGCATAATTCGTAGATTATGCTGCTGAATCATTTGGTCACAGTTCTGGCGACACGGCTCTAGCAAAAACAGACCTTCGATTTTCTCTGTCCAGCTATGCTGTAGATTAGAAAACCAGCGTTAATAGCTCCTAAATATAAGTTAGCGCCTGTCTCGAAACGCGGTAAAAGATTATTGGAATTTTTCAACATGCGGGTTGACCAACGCGATTTATGTCTGGTGTCACGTGCCATCGTTTGTGTAATTACGAACCTAACGCTAGTTTCAAAATTCAGGTCTCGCAATTTCTCTCCACGCTAACTCTGGGTTTGAATGTTTTGAAAATTGTACACTTCGACGTTCGATTACGTTTAGATTTGCGCTAATAATTTTCAAACACTTTGCAGGAAATTGGTGAAGTGCGTAATAACGAGGATTTGTTAATTAGAAATTCCTGGTCGTCAACGTGACAGCTCAGGAATCGCGAACGATTTAACAGATCGTTCAGTTTCACCTGTTGTTCCGGTAGATCGAACGATCGCAACGCGGAAAACGGGGGAAGAAGAGACACGGTGGGTGGTGTTAAATATCGAATTAAACGTGGTCGCGACAATTTCAAGTAATTCAATCATCGGTTACCGCAGTTTCGTTATTTATCATCGTTATTTCTCACCTCGTAACGATCGTCGTTGATCGACGTGTTATGGTTACATTGGTCGCAGTGACATAACTGGAAGCGCGAGCTTCGGTTACATTTAACTAATTGCAATCTCGCGATTACCCTTCGCAACGAGGCAAAATTGCAACCGCGTTGCTCTCATCTTTGTCACACGATTTTCTATGAGTTTACGAATTGTGACATTTGGTGTTGGAAATTTTAGAGATAAATGTAGGAGTAGTCTGTGGTTCCACAGGGAAAATGTTTTAGTTTCCGTTTCGTAGTGGTGATTAAAGTTAGCTAGTGAAAATATTTCAATTACCATTGCACCTTCTTAATATAAAAAATTTGCGAGCTTTAGAGTTAGAATTTTCGAGAGAAAAATTCACAGAGACTGAGTAATGACAAAACGATCAATTTTTAAGAGAAAAATTCACAGAGACTGATTAATGACAAAATTATCAATTTTTAAGAGAAAAATTCACAAAGGTGGAGTAACGACACAGCTTTTGTGTGTGTAATCTACATATTTATATTAGACACACAGTGGAAATTTCAACATACTTCTTTCTGCTACTATCTTCTACTCCAAATTTTCCCAAAAAATTGTGTCCAGAATTTACAACACTCATTCGTGCGAGAGTTGTCAGACGTTGTTAAGAGTAAGTCTCCTCTAACCTGAACGTTGTCTCTGGTCAATAAGGGACGGTTGCGGTGAATATTACGATCCGTGTGCATGTTTGACAGAACGAAACTGCGCTCTGTTACGCGGCGAACTTCGCGAAAAGCGTGCTGAGTAACGAATCAACGAGTAACGAAGCCAATTTCGGTCTCACGTGACGTACCAAATTTTCCGAGGTATCTGCGCCATCCATGCGTTCATCGATTGAGAAATGTTTACTCCTATAATAGGATGTTCACGAAAGCTCGATGTATACACGCTACGAAACAACTCGCTTTCTCGTTTCGTCGATTATTGAAAAGTAATACTTAAAGTAAATTAACATCGAGATAAATTTTCAACACGATTGAGTATTCGATAGAAAAGAGAAAATGTCGATGTTCTTAACCTAAATAGTTTCCATCGTAGACCTAATAATCTCGTACAACGTTTTTCCTCACAATATAAATTCCTCTTTCTTTTTCTCTTGCCTCTAAAGGTCGCATAATTGCTCGACTATTCGAGGCGTGAAACAGACGTTGAAGTTCGATACTCTTTGCAGTAGGTGATTACCGTAATTGAGCTCGATTTTCTCCAACAAATGGAATCGAGAATGGTTTAAGAGGTAATTGACGTGTAAAGAAAATTCAGTCAAGGTTTCGATATCGAACAAACTCTTTTTTTAAGTCTCGACATCTTTCTGCAAGATTGTTTACTTATTAGATTACCTCCGTTCTGTCTCTACTTACAAATTTGCCCATTTTAATTTGCACGAAGCATCAGCTAAGAAAAAGTTACTTTTGCAACAGATACTTCGATAATTCTCAAGATTCATTTCTTACTTAACGCTGGGTTTGCCGGACGCGCCATTTTGACGCATTTCGAATTTCACTGGGAAAATTACAGAAACCGTCTACATTGCTCTCCTGCCGCTTATCGCGTAGTTTCGTTTATAAGTTAACCCTTTGCACTCGAGAAGCGACATTATGTTTACCATTAGAGGCAACTCTACGGATGATATATCCCAAGACAGCAGGTCTATGGACCTCCGTGAATTGTTCGCTACACGTTTAGAGATCTCAGCGGTGAAATAGTTTGAAAGGACCAACTTCTTTAAAAAATTACACTAACTTTTACTACTTCCTTCTAGAAAGAAGGGCCTTCGAGTGCAAAGGGTTAACAGTCAATTTGACGCGTGTTCGTAGAGATGGATAGATATTCGTCGATTTGTACTTTCCGTGTTTTTAAACATTGGTATATAAATAAACACAAAAGCTACAAGTTACTTTACTTTCTTCAAAATATCAGACGAAGGAAAGCAAAAACCTTCAACAATTTTTATCTCGATCGGTGTGCATGTCAACTGTTTTGTGTTGGCGGCCTGGCATTACATTCGGTACGAGCAATCACTTCCTAACGCCGTTATATTTCTTACCCCGACTCTCCCCTACATAAGAAATGTCCGTAAACCTAGTGTTACACAAGACTGTTCAAAATAACGACACCATCTCGAGCTTCTTGTTATTTATACGCGAATATTTAATTAATACGAAACAACGTACAGTTGAAACCGAACGATTTATAGCATCGACTTTTTCGACGTCTATCGGCTCGGCAAAAAGGGGACAGAACTGTTCGAGATCGCGTTCGTGAAACGTACGAATGGAAATTACTCGGGACTGACGACGAAAACACACGAAGTATCCAGGATTCCCCGTTGTAACTTCGTTTCCGGTTCCGCGATTTATTAATCGGGACTCGCGTGGCGCGAACAACGCCAGATAACTCTGGATAATAATTCAAGCGCTCGTCCGCGCTGGATTTTCTTTCGTAAGCTAAATATTCGCCGTTGGAAAAACAGCGTCGTAAATTATATGGTAGCCGTCGGCCGGGAAACTTCGCCGGAAAAATACAATCTTTCCAGGATTGCATTTTCCAGAGCGAAAAGAGAAACGGAGATTCGCGCGCTCCGCCCGGAAAAATGGAGTACAGGCTGGTTCATAAAGTGTGCGAATGATAACGCGGGACGTTTCTACTTGCGCGAATTGTTTACGAAGATATCGCGATTTGCGCGGGCGGGAGAGTATTATTGCGTACTTGAGGGAAGGAAGGAAAAAATTTTGGAGAAAAAGGAAAATTGCAAAGATTTCAAATTTCTGGAACGAAGAGAAATTTTAGACTCTCCCCTATCGGTGACAATTGCGAAAGAATGAAATTAAAATACACTCGTCGAGAGGTCGACAGGCGAATTTATTTCAGATTTTTATTACAGTAATAATGACAGAGAAAAGGATATTTCACGTTATTCGCAGTCGTACGAAAAAATTAGAGGTTGATAGAAGGAAAGATACACTTCCGTTAAAATTACTTTGTAATGTGTTCAGTGAAAAAACTGCTAGCATGCAATTTATTCATCGATGTAATTAATTTCGAATCTCCAATTCCAGTTTGTACAGCATAGCGAATTTTCTGGGTCGACGTGTATTTTAAGTCTCTCGAATTCTTTAAAGATTTATGTATGTCATAGTCTTATCATTCTGGACAAACGTGCTTGCAAATAATCAATGATATCACACCTGAGATAAAATCTGCTAATGGCAAATATTTCCTTGTTAGTTTTTCTCATTCTCGTTTGTACGTAATACTTGTTACGAATACCCTTGCGCACATTATTGCGTGCAACAAACGTGTCTCGTTGTTAGATACATCGTAAACTGCATAAAATTAACGTTGTAACGGAGATCTGAGATTATTTTTTCAAACGTGCAAAAACATGGGATATCTTGGAATAATACGTTGTTAGCTTAGCACAACTTATGAAACACCTTATACAATAAAAAAGGATGGATACTGGAACGAGATTCCTGGAGAATACCGCCCATGGTCTAGACAACCTGTTCAGACTAACGTTGCATCGGCATGTTATTATGCAACTACGGAAGATGCATTATTTCGTATTACGAATCGGTGTAATTAAATCCTTAATTGTCTGATAAAATTGCGCAACAATGACGCGTCAACTTGTTTATTATCACAATTGCACATTTTTCTCGTACTTCGTTCATTTAGTTGCAAGCAAGAAGCTTCGCAATTGTCAGCCTTGTTAAATCCCGATCGATTGGTCTCGTTGAGAAAATAAACGAGATAAGATTTAACCCTTTATCTTGCGAGTTGGTGGTTATTTTCGTACACAGTTTCATTTCGACGATCCTCAATTTGACGAAGCAAAAGTTTCAAAATTTTAATAATAAATTTGAAAAATTTCAAAGGAGGGAAGGAGACTTCAAATCAAAGGAAGTTTAATAAAATCTGCTTTGATCGTCCATTAACCATAATCTGTGACTGCCACTCACTGTCAGAGTAAACAGAGTACAGGTGGAATTCTCCGAATTCCTTCGGTTCATCTAGGTTTAAAATAGAAATCAAAGCCAGATATCAAGTGTGATAAAACCGATAAAACAAGAAGCAGGAAGAATGAAAGTAATCGAGTAACGCCGAAGAGTATCTCAGTTATGGTATACAAACGTATTGTATCATCGCGGAGAGAACAGTGATCTCTTCAACGTAGAAGTTCACCGATAACAGAACGATGCTCGAGAATTGACAATGATAAAATGGAAAAATTCGCGTACTAATGATAACACTGTACAATAAACAACGACGAAGCTGCGTTACCAACCGTACAAAATTGACAAATGAACACCGAAGATCTGGGATACGCAGGAACACGTGCATCGCACATAACTCACGACTGCATAATTAAAACGCGATATCGAGACGAATTTAAAGTCACGCAGCTCGATGGTATCAACCTCGAAGTAGCATCGTTGTTCCAACAATAACATACTGAGTGGCACTGGATACCATTATCAACCGGCGAAGGCGAACACGTGTGAGATTTAGAGACCTAGGTCAAGAATCTGACACGAGATCGACAAAAATGAATGAAACCGGTCGATAAACTCTACTTTTCGACTTACACTGACTCAGCGAAGTTGTAGGAACAGTGACAACGATTAAGATAACGTTGCGATCAAGTTTATTGCCCAAGTGACAGCTGAACGATTGATTTAAGAGCAATAATCGATACACCGCTTACGTTGCTCGTCGAAAGAACGGAGAGCGTGGAATTAAACGATACCGAAGTACTCTGGAAATGGTAAAATTCATCGAAACGGGACAAATGTGTCGATTCTGGAAAAATAAAGGAATCAACAGGGAAGTACAATTAAACAGGTGATTCGAAAGTTCGAAAGGGTTGATCTGTCAGTTGGATCGACGACGATTCGCGAGAAATCTGCGGAAACACGCGGAATTACGCGCGCTTTATAACGCAGTACGCGTGTACGCGCGGGTACTTCAGTATGCGTCGGTTTAACTGAAAATGCCCTTTGAAAATGTTTTCGAAAATGGCTTTTCAACATCCGCAGATATCCGTGTTCCGCGCGGCTCGGTGAAACGTCACTCGATAAATTATAAACGCGAGCTGTCGGGAGAAAATTAGCGGTCGGGGAGGAAAGAAAGGGAAAAGCTGTATCGACTGTGTGCCACGGGGATTTCCTGCTGTATTTAAAATGCGCAGCGACGAACGTATGAACGCGAACGAAAGAATCCGTTCTACGTGAAAAAAGTGGCAAAATTCGAATCTTCCCGGAATAAAAACAGAAGCAAATTTTTTGTAAGTGTCATAAATTCGGAGAAAAATACGGCGACATTTAAAGTGCGGAGAAAACACGTGCAAAGTGAATTATTAGCAAGAATTCCGCGTCGTAACAGTGGAAGAAGGTGATCGAATCGGCCGTGAATAATTAAACCTGTTTCGAATTCCAGCGCCCGGCGGCCGTTAATAAATAACGCAATAACGTCGTTCACGTTCGCACGTGAGCCGCGAATAAATCACACACGCGGGAACGTTCATGAATATAAAAGGGCGGTTGGACCGTTTTACGCCTAAATTCTCCAGTACTTTCAGGATCCTTGACGAGGGCCGGGGGGAGAATCGAAGTAGGAAACGTTCTCTCCGCCCTTCGATGAACCACCGTTGCTTCCGGACGACGACGAGGAGAGGAAACGAGCGTAAATTGATCGCGACGAGGACGTACCGGCTGGCAGACAGTAAATCCGGGTTAAAGGACTCCGCTGATTCGGCCTCTGTCGCTTAATAACAGGTGCACCATAACGTCGACCATAAACCGTGGGTCTGGTTCATGCTGCTGGGTAACTGAGTTTCAAAACGCGGCCAGCAAGCCGCCAAGCATAAGTGAATTTTACGCGAATTTTCCCCCGCTGGTTTTCCGTGCCCGGCTCTCTGTCCGGGGAAAATTAAAAAATTACACGGCAAAAAGGAGTGTGTTTTCGCGAGGATACGACGATACGTTTTCCTGTTTCCAGTGATACGCACAGTTGGGTATTGTTAACGTACCTGCTGGCTCTGCCGGATTTGAAGAATAATTGCCGGCGAAGAGGATTTTGTAGAAAGTTGCACACGGGTGCGTAACGATTGTGTCTGCGTGTGTGGTGTGCAAGAACGTTAAGTTCGTAGTCGAGTTGAATGGAACATTACATGCTCTTGTTGCACGGCACGACGGCGAGGCTCTCAAGACGGGTTTAAAGAGCATCGTTACATCGAGTCGTTGAAAGTCGTAAACGCATAATAAAGTGATCTTGAAGGTACATCTGGCCGATGGGATGAGTGCACGCGTCGGTGAATGCCGATGCGTTCGTATGGGATATAGTGAAATGTGTATGGAAATGAATTGCATAGTGTCACTTCAGAGATGCTGGAGTTAGTGCGAGTGTTGAGGATTTGTTGGACTTAGGCTTGAAAAAATTGATTCTCGGTCAATTCTGAACTGTGTAGCAATGTACATAAATTTTTAATTCCAAAAAAAATTTTTTTAAGTTTCTACGCTATCTCGAATTTTTATCGTTCAAGAAATTGTTCAATTGTACACACTAATCCTCCACAACTGAATTTTTTTCCATTCGTGAGTAGAAAAATTAGAATTTTGATTACAATTTCACATTTTCATCGAGGTAACAAACATTTTTATAGCACTCCCGTTGAGAAACACAATTTTTCATTTGGTCCATTGTTAGAAGGCGCCCTCTAATTAAACCGCGTGATTGTATTAGCACAATAAGGGTGCGTAAAACGCGGATAAAACAGGGAAATAAGCCCGGAAACCTGAAGATCTTGGGTGATAAATCTCCCGGTGGAGGATTTAGAGCGCGAACCACGTTTCCCGTGCTCTAATGACACGTCGGCCATAAAGCGTCGACTCGTAACAGAGGATCGAAGGTTACAAAGCGAAAGCAACTAGCTCGAAGCGCGGGGACAAGCGTGCAAAGCCGTTTCCATGCTCGTACGCGCGTCCTTATTGCGAACCCCGGCTAAAGGATACGTATCACGAAATCCTGTTAGTATCTTAGTTGGCTTTATTTCCGTTATCTCTGCGCCAGGCTAAACCGGAATCGTCGTTCCGACACGTACTCTACCTGTTTACGATAGTTCGTTCGCGTTCCGCCGCGAGCAGAGATTTTCTCCTCTGACGGAGCCTACCTGTTTGCCTGTTGCTGTTGATCAAACGTTGCCGGTGTCTTCGACTTATACCGTGTTGCTGAAACTCCGTGAACTCGCGACGAAGATAATTGCAATTGATTATCTCGATAGGAGTCATTTCTTTTTTTTTGTAATTTTCAAACGAGAAATTTTGCAAATTTTAACTCCTTTTCTTTGGTAGAGTTGACAATTTTTTAGGAACGGTTCTAATCTCTTCGGAAGGTTTTGAAAAATTAATTAGTTAAAATTAATCGTGATGTAAACTCGGGGAACTCGCGACGAAGATAATTGCAATTGATTACCTCCATATGAGACATTTGTTCTTTGAAATTTTAAAACGATAAATTTTGCAAATTTTAACTCCTTTTTCTTAAGCATAGTTGACAACTTTTTAGGGACAGTTCTGAACACTTTTCGGGGGTTTTTCTAAAATTAATCCTGATATTTTAACGACACGTCTCGTTTAAATAAATGTTTTTATATATGTGTATTCTACAGCGTTCTTGGTTCATAATCCAATGAAAGAGAGGTTGCGATAATTTCATCCTGCAGTTCTCGAAGCGTCCAACGTGAGAAGGCAAGCAATGGTGTCTATAGATCTCGAAATAGTGCGACAGATATTCATTGGGATCGTTTGTAAGTAACGCTTGAACGAGATTAGGCCAACGTGATCCATCAATGGAGAGAGAGAAAAAAGGAGAGAAAATTGAATATTTGTACATGGTGATATATAGGCAATCTTCTGGTCATCGATAGTGGATTGAACGAGGGATGGAGCACCCCTATTATACCGAAATTCGAGCAGGACGATCCTTTGAAGGTGTCCAGCGACAAAGTGGTCTGGGTGGTGAATTTGATGTACGTCGGGGTCGGACTCGGCTCGATCGTACCGTTTCTTTTGATGGATAGGATTGGTCGTAAAGGAACACTGCTGTTCGCCACAATACCAAAGATCGCCAGCTGGATTTTGATCGGCCTGGCAGCCACCGTTACGCAACTTTACATCGGTAGAATAGTAGCCGGAGTGGGATGCGGGATAACGTATGCAGTGATGCCTATGTACCTGGGCGAGGTTAGCAGCAAAAGGACTCGTGGTCCATTAGGTATTATTTTCCCTTTTTCTATTTTCTTTCTCTCGTTTTGCGTACCTACAAATTTTTATTTCTACGTTATCTTCTTTCTTTCTCTGCCTGTTTCGTTTGAGTATTATTAAATTCGGGTATGTCTTTTCTATTTCGTTTGACTAAATTATTAATTTCCACGAATTTCCCGAGTTTCACTAACACCGAATCTCAATCGCAAACTTAACTACATAACTTAATCAAGATCCAGAGAAAGTGTTCACAAAATAAGTCGACCAAGTTATCACCTAGGTACCCTGATGGCGGTGCTCCTAAACACGGGCATGATGCTAGCGTACGCGATCGGTCTCTGCGTGTCTCGTTTCACGATGTCCATGATCTCCGTCACCGTTCCCCTAATGTTCCTCGTGACGTTTATCTGGCTACCGGAAAGCTCCGTGTTCCTCACGAGAAAGAACAAGCTAACATCAGCGGAGAGGACGTTGAAGTGGACGTTGGGAAAGGACGACGTGGTGGAGGAACTGGAGGAGATCAAACGTATCGTAGCCACGGAGGATCTAAAGACCGACATGACGTTCGCCAGATCGTTGAGAGATATGTTCAAGAGACGGGAGAATCGTCGAGCTTTTCGTATCGCCGCGATTGTTCTCAGTGCGTTGACCTTGACCGGAGCGGCGCCGTTGCTCGCTTATCAGTCGTTCATATTTGAGGAGGCGGGCTTCGCGATCTCGACGGACGTCAGCATCGTGATCACGGGTTGCACGATCGTGCTAGCTGGCAGCGTGTGCGTGATGCTGGTGAGGATCACAGGGAAGAGATTGCTGTTGCTGATCTCCACGCCGATCTGCGTGCTGTCCCTCGTCACGATGGCGATCTTCTTCGGGATGATGTCGAGCGGCCAGGACGTCTCCGGGCTACGATGGGTGCCCAGCGTATTCCTCGTGATTTATGTCCTCGGGTACGGGCTCGCGCTCAACCCTGTCCCGCTAGCCTACGTCGGCGAGATCTTCCACATCGACGTGAAGGTACCTGCGGCTATCTTCTGCTCCCTTTATTACGCCATCGCGACCACAACCGTGGTGAAATTCTATCAGGTGGGTTTACACGCGTTGATGGGATTTAGGTCGTCGTCCGCGATGAAATTTTCATCGGGGGGAGAACCGCGCGGATATACGGTCACTGTTTATTATCCCGGGATATGTGCTCTTTCATTTGGAAGTCATGGGATTGTTGGTCGTTTTCGATGAATTTCGCGAGGTAGGTTTAGCTCGGAGATTGTCATTTGTGGGGATAAGTAAATAGTATCGCGAAGAGGATTCTATTCAATTTTATTGTAGGATTCGTTTCGAAAACTTGACAAATTTGGAAATTAATCCTTACGAGAAGTGTCTGAACGTTTTATCTAGTATTTCTACTTTAACGACACCATAGTGTTCGTTGTAATCACAATTTTATGCGCGGGTAATCTGTAATTTAATTACCTCCACAACGCGATCAATCAACGGGTGTCAGTTTTATTCCACAATTATCACTCTTTATCTTCTTATCGACGACTTACGAACGAGTGAAATTTCAATCCTAAAGTTTCTTCCTGCAGCAGCAATTTTCAAACTCGAATTACACCCAGCGTCGCGATATTCCGAGCAAACTCGAGCAGAATCGGAAGACCGGTCGCTCGAGAGATTCGTCAATAACCTGAAAAGATTTTCGTAACGCGTTAACGGGACACGGGAAACGACGAAGAGCTTACAAAATATTTTTCCAAGGCGACCTAAATTCTCTCCTCTCGGTTATTACCGGAGAACATCGACGTAGAGCCGAGGTTCCTGTACAATCCAGTGATTGTCTTGCCTTATTCGTAGGTGCTGCAAGAATCGTACGGAACGTACATGCCCATGTTGGCGTTCACCGCGATTACTGTCCTTATATGGTTGTTAATCTATCGATACGTGCCGGAGACAGAAGGGAAGACCTTGGAGGAGATACAAATGGAATTAAGAGGAAAGAACTGACAATTTTTACCCGCCCAGCGCTGCGTCGTAAATTGTTTAATAAAGTATATACGTTTTATAAAACGGAAAACCTCTTCTACCTTTATTTTTACGGGTACTTTTCGCACGTTCGATGCACCGTTTCGATATCTATTCGACGTTCAACGGAACCGAGTGACACTCTGTAATAGAACGGAAATTCTAATACGAATCGCGGACAGGTTTTGAATATTTACAGGGGATTATTAGCTCGTTCGTAGATGTTGAAACTTTAATCAGTGTTTCAACGGTGTTTGACGTATAATAATCTCATCTTGAAAACTCGCGGATGGAACATGCAGCGAGAGCGTACTGTTGGATTAACAGGTTAATTTTCTGTTAATTAGAGTCTACTTTACCAGTAATGAAAGTTATCCTCGTAAATAACAAAGAGAAGAAAGATTCGCGGATTATTCTCCCGTTCGAAATAAAGTTTCTCCTTTTACTCAGTGCCGAACCTTTTCTCTCCCTCTTTGTCTCGTGAACTTTCAGGAGGCTCATAATCCTGGCTATCCATAAACTAGCGATTTCGCATCGAAACTTCGGTGCAAGATGATAACAAAACCAGTTTACGAAACAACGGAATATTTCACGCGGAACCGCTGAAATGACGTCTGTATTGCCTTCGTGGAATGTACAATAAGTTTCTAATTATCCTTCTCGCTCTCTTCTCGTTGCTAATTGAGAAGATCTCCGGAGTATTTAATTCATCATTTGCGATAAGAATATTTCATTCTTGTAATTTACCCCGAGCGGGAGATTTTCTTCCCTAATACCTTTAGATAGACGTAACGAGCGTTGGTTTAAAGTTTCGTACTATTTATCCTCGTAAATTCCCTCGTTCCTCAAATTCTTTGCGAAACTTCTCCCTTGAGGTTTGCTAAAAACTTCCACCTTTAAAAACAATATATTGAAGCGAAGGTATTGCCTCAACCCATTTTACGACGCTGCAGAGAAGAGGTTCGAACGATCTATCAAACAAGTGGGTCCTTCGTATTCCAAGTTACAACATACTCGACACGATTATTAAAATTTACCGAAATTCTTCCGCGTTATTCGCCGTTTACTGCAGAACGTGGGAGTAATAAGACGTCTGCGAGTGTTTAATCTCGGCTACTAAATACGATTCCAGATTGATAAATACGAAAAATGGTTGATCCAGAGGTGGGAAAGAAGAACGTTTGGGACAGATTGCTATGCGTTGCTGAGAAGATGACGAGCGGAAAGAATGCGGGTCTCAGTTGCAACGAACGCACTCAAAATTTAGTCACACGAATTTTTATTACTAGCCAAAATAGTCACGTCTATTAATCCATCGCGTGACCTCTTGACCCTGTGCCGTTCCACTCGTCATCGTCTCAGCAACGCACAGTGCTTGAGAATATCCTGTGAATCGGAGGATGTGTGACCACCCAAAGATTTTGGTGAATCAAGTAAAAATCCAATTATTCCCCTAAAACTGCTACAATAATAAAAAATGGTTTCCATCGGGAAAGGATCTTCCCGAAAGGAAGAAGCGAAGCTTCCAATTATCTCCAACGAATTAACGCAACTGCGTTAGGTATGTATCGCGAGAAACGCGTAGAACGCAGTCCGGTTGCGTAAACAGCGTGGAATTTACGTGATCTCGCGGCACGTGACGGAAAAGGCCGAGGAAGAAGAAGAAGAAAAAAAGACGAAAGGACGGAACAAGGAGGGCGAGGGTCAGTGATCAATACCGACGTGCTCTTGATTCCCCGGAATCCGGCAGGACGGAGTGGGCAAACTGTAATTTCGCGAAATTACAGTGGAAACTGCGTCAGATAGGGGGCGGAAAGGTGGGCCGTGGGACTCGTTTGATCGCGAAGTTCGTCGTCTGCAAAGAGAATCGTTAAGCAGCGATATCACGGCGCGGCGGGGGCCAGGCCTTCTCTCGCGCTCCTAAACTATTTGAGTTTCAGTTTAAAAAACGCGCGTGCCGCGTAACCGAGCTGTGCTGCTCGAAACGTTTGCAACTTTCTCGTTCGGTGTGTTTATTCAGAGCCAACCACTCGCCCTCTACCACCCCGTGTACCGTTGCGGATTTTGTTTGCGCTTGCCGCGTCATACGAAATTTTCCTGGGTGAGAGTACACACTTTACCGGTTTACCAAGCTTTGACGATTTTTCTTCTTTTTCCTTTTTCGCTGTCTGTCTCTCTTTCTCTGTTTTCCCACTCGTTTCTTCTTTTCACTTTTCTCTATTTTTCTCCCCCTTTTTCTACTCTGCCGTCTCGCCTCTTTTTTTCACGCTGTCGGACCGCGCGCGCGATTCGCGCGATTCAGACGATTCACGTGCACGGTGTCGGTGCATCGTCGGATTCCTTGCTGAATGGCCGACGACTACGGGAATTGGCTGCGGTTTAGAGCGTTCTCCAACTTGGAGTGCTTGTAAATTTGGTTAAGCCTGAAAGGCTTTGTATGGCTGAGCTGAGCGCAGGCGTGTTTGCACGGAATGCCGTTTTTCCCGGAGTAATTTGGAAAAGTTCGTGTGCCGCGCGGGTGAAGGAGATTTGTGGTTGTTTAAATATTCGTAAGGGTTCTTGCTGCGTTCTGCGATTCTTTAGATTGCATTGGGTCCTACGATGTGAAATTTCGGATTTCTAATCGTGAATTGATCGCTCGCGTGATTAGAGTATTTAAAAGTCTCGTGTGTTTTTTTTTTTTTGTGTCAATGTTACGGAACGGTCCGTAACGGTTGAGATCGCCTTCGTTTCGGGTTGATTAAAGGCGAAAAATTCCAGAAATGTGTTTGATGTCGTTTTATTTGATGTTTAGTTCGAACGGGTGTCGTTCTAGGTGTACGGTTTTAGACTATCTGTCGACCTTGTGCAGGTACACCTTGCTTCCGACCAATCAATGGTCAGGAAAAGGACCCGGAGTCGAGCGTCGCTTCATGGCTTTTTCCCGACTTTGCTCCCTTCCTACCCGTGACCGTTGCTTGGCGTTTTGGTTTATAATTATAAAGGTGTTTGGTTATGGTAATAATAATATCTAATAATGTTAATAATAATCCGATAATAGTATCTAATAATAATGTTAATAATAATCCAATAATAGTATCTAATAATAATGTTAATAATAATATAATAATACATAAAAAAAAATGTTAATAAGAATATTATAATAGTATCTAATAACAATGTGTGGGTAACTTAAAATTCGTACAATTTTCGTTAACCCTTTCGCGACGGCGGAACTGGCCATCAGTACGCCGCTAACGAACGAGTCGTCGTGCCGTTAGTGCACACCGTACACATTAGGAGTATCTCGAGTTTTTTCAAATCTTAGAGGATTTCGTTGGAACAGCAGAGGACTTAAGGGTGTATCGGATAAAGGGAATGTTGTCGAGGCCTTGTTCTGTATTTTAAAGTAAATCTTCACTTTGAGTTGTCGAGGTCGCGAGCCAATGCGACGCGCTTAGTGGATGCCGGATATAACCGGCGCTTGCCAGTGTGAAGCATTTAGCGGATGCCGGATATAACCGGCGCTAGTCGCGAAAGGGTTAAGTTACTTTTCGGGAAATTTAAAGATTGCTGAATAATATCGACAGAAATTTCCTAGCACTCTAAATTACCCATAATTTAATGCTCCCTTCGTTTCAACGCGTAAATTTGACAGAGATTCTTCTCTTACCACAGCATCCAGCTACGGCACGTTGGAAGAAATTAAACCGTAATCCAAGGGGTTAACAGAATAATCAAAGGGAGGAAAATTCGCGTATCCATAAGAAAGTCCAATTATTTTATAATAGTCGTTAGAACCATAATTAGTCGAATGAGTGTAACGTGGATCAAAACGAAGGGAAAGAAAACGAAGGCAATGTTTCGTTCGGCCTGGTTTTTTCCTTTTCTTCTTTATTTCGTCGCGCTTTCACGGCACAGCTGACGTGTACACACGCGACGCTTTATGCACAGCGCAAACAATACGGTTTCGTAGGTGTAAATAAAATCATTCCCGCTTCTCACGAGCTCGGAACTACGCGTATACAGAGGCCAGGCCGGCTCGCGCGAAACTGAAATTACTGTAGCGGATATTAAAATTTGTACATTAGTACGTCGGGGAAAATTATCGGGCGCGTTGTTTATTTTCACTGGTAAGTTACCGTGCATCGTAATTGAGAAAATATTTCCACGCGGAAATTGGGTCGGAGAAAGTATGTACAACGTGTGAAGCTGTCTAACAACCCGAACGCTGTTCTTGCCAGCCTTTCTTAATTATTTCGCTACCTTTAATAATCACCAGCTAAAGGCTTTTTAATACCTTTCACACGGCGTAAGGGAACGTTATATCGGGTAACTGTTGTTACCTCTTGTTAATTCCACGACATAGTCATTTTTACCTTGATTATACCGTAGGAGGTAACGTGAAAGGAAGAGAAAAAAAAAGGACGATACCGAAGGCGAGTTTATTAAAATTCCGCGTAAAATTCCTCTGCATCTTCCGCAAAAATCCCACTTTTATATTACTACCGGCCACGTTCTCTGGCATTCGCCAGCTGGTTCTCCAAAATACCACCACACCACACAATATTCCGTGCAATCAAAGCCCACATTTTCCCGGCCACAGCTCTTCCCTCCCTCTCTGAATGTAATAACAAAGGGTCTCTTGAATATTCTCAATTCCACGAGGCTCGACACAGACCTTCGTTCCCAGCTTCGATGCCAGGAGCATGATCTTGGTAAACATTCGACGAGTATACCGGGTGAGAAGACAAATAAGTTGCTTTATATCGGCGATAAGAAATATGCGTTAATATCGGCAAGGTGAAAATTCAATTTTAGATACACGTGAAATCACTCTGGAATTAATTTCACGTATGCGTTATTCGTAAGAATTTCTTATGGTACAGTCTGAACATTATACCGAGAAATATTTAATCCAAAATTCGGAAAATCGAGAATATTCTTTGACAATAAATTTCTAAAGGAAAGAAACGAAAGATTTGATATTTCCTATTTCCTACCAAATTCAATGTA